ATTAGAGGTCTGCTTTGGGCGGGTTTTTGGATAATATGCCCGCCCACTCAATGTTTAAAAAAATTTTAACCCGCCCGCCCAGCCCGCCCATAGTTTTCAAAAAAAATATACCCGCCCGCCCGCCCATTAATCTAAAAATTTTTACCCTCCGCCCGCCCATTAGTCTAAAATTTCTTGCCCGCCCACCCATTAGTCAGAAATTTTTTACCAGCCCGCCCATTATTTATAAAAAATTTTTACCCAAGTCCGCTATTTTAAGCATCTAATGAAAATAGTTTCAAAATTACATCTCTATAAGTTTTATAATTTAGGAAATTACTATATTAAGCTTAAAAAATATTCAATTTAAATTATGGATAATTTATTTTATCAAATAAAATATTTATAAAATATAAATATTATAAGTAATTATAATGCAAAAATAATAATGAATCCACATTTTCGGGATTCAAACACGTTCTTCTTTGTTCTAAAAACCTTCCGGCAATGCTAAATCCTCTTTCAGAAGTAGCACTTGTTGCAGGAATTGCTAATATTTTTTTTGCTAATCTTGATAGCTTTGGCAAATCTTTTTCTTGTCGTTTCCACCAAAGTAGGACATCCTTTTGAAGTATATCCTCTTCCTCAATTGAAATCTTTAAATAAAAGTGAACCAATAATAATAAATTTATAAAAGTAATTTAAATTTATATTAATTGTAATATATGCATCTTAAAATTATGCTAAATTATACTTATCAAAAATGGTTACTTTAAGATTTAAATATTTTGTTATGTCATTATGTACGGTACTATCCTCAGTAACAACCTCATCCTCCCATCTGTTAGGGTTTAATTTTGATGTGGATGCTATTTATTTCAAATATTACATTTAATAAGTAGCTAAACGAATTTATAATTTATTAATACCTTTTAATTGGATTCTCTTTGCTTTTGGGGAAATGGGTAAAATCAAATTTTCATCTACGTCGATGTTACATTCTTCTATGCAAATCAAATCTAACAAGTTTTCAATATGTTTTTTTACTTCATTAATTTCTTCCGACGACAACATCCTCATTTGTCGGAACTTTGGTATTAAAAATGTTGAAACTTTATGGAGCATATGAATTTTAAATTTTTCAATTATAAAATTTTTAGCTCTTTTCTTTATTATATCTATTTCTTTTTCGCATTTTGTTTTTCTCTACATTATATTCATATTTATTTCATTATGCTCATGTAGAAGATTATACCTAATTTTTTTATAAATAAAGAAAAAATGGGCATAAATCCGAAAATATTAATTTTCATACCATAAAAGAACGTTCTGTAGTGTAGGCCTGCAATCACCCTCAAGAGCATTAGTTGCATCTTTATATGGTTCCAAATAATCTATCAGTGTTTTTAAATCTTCCTATCCCATAGATCCCATTTTTTCAGTCATATCACGAGATTGTAAGAATAAAAAAATCTCATCATACATTATATAAATGCTTTGTAGCATATTATGCTTTGCATTCCATCTTATATCAATATTTTGTAGTAACGTCTTGCTTAGATATTTTACGTTGCCACTTTGTTTGAAATAAGTCGTCAATGATTTTGCAGTTACCAAAATATTATTAATCTCGGGAGCATTTTCTAAAATAAAAGTTGCAGTTTAGCTATTAAAGCTAATATTTAAAAAAATAAAAGGAAAATATAATTCTTTAAATATGAATGTTTATTCTTTAGGTGTACACAAAATCTCTCAATTATTATAGTATCTACCTAATAATTAAATTTTATTTAATAAAAAATTTACCCTTCCTTTTTTAATATTTGCTCCTTGATCCGTAACAAAGATGAGCTTGGAAAAATATTCTCGGGGAACACCAATTTTTAAAAAATTTTTTAATAATTCTTTAAGAATATTTTCTCCCGTCTTTTTTTCATCTTGAAATTTTGAAATAAAAAGAAATTTTTTTTCTAATTTCCAATTTTGTATATAATGGATTGATAGAGATATGTAATCAGTTTTGGTAAATTCTTCACACCACATATCAGTAGTACATGAGCAAATGGAATTTTTTATCATTTCTACAATTTAAGGAAATAATATTTCCTTAAGATCCTCAGTAACTTTGGATACGTTGCGGCTAACTGTTGTAGCACATGGGATGATCTTATTAACATCCAATTTACCATATGTTGCCCCTAAGTCGGCAAATCTTTGTAAAATATTTATAAATCCAGGTCCTTGAACTGCTTGGAATGGCCTAAAAAAGATAAAAGAATAATTTATTAAATTAAAATACCTAATGTCTCTAGCGCAATATTCTACAAAATTCGCTATTAGACCAGATTTTATCGTTTTGTTTAATTGAGAATTGTCTTTTTCAAAATATCCAGTTATTTTTTTATTATCTACCAAATCTTCATAATTTGCAGATGAACATTGATGCCGAAGGAAGAAGAAGGTGCCACTTTTTCTATTATATTTAAAGATGGACTCGCAATCATTGCAGCGAATCCAATCTAGCTGTCATTTTCATCAAAAATAATTTTAAATTGTTTCCATATAGAAGATTTAAGTTTATTATTATTAACTTCATTGTTTTTTAATTTATAAATATTATTTTTTATTTTCTTAGCAATCAATTCTTTATTCATATTTTAAAATTAAATTAAAAAATATTATTTTGTTAAAATTATGTTTAAAAAATAAAATTTATATATTATATAAAAAAATAAAAATGAAAATAAAAAGGGCAATATAAAGATAAACAATCATTACTAAAATAAAATAACACAATGGAGTAATTTCATTATTCCCAAAAAAGGAAATTTTAATTTTCAATATCTAAAAAAATATATATATTAAGAAAAAAGTTTTATTTCATTGCCATAAAAGGAGATTTTAATTTGTTTATAGAAAAAAGTTTGTTTTTATTTGTAGAAAAAGTTTTTTTAATTGAAGAAAAAAGTTGATTTATTTTATAAAAAGTTATACCAGAAAAAGGCTTTTTATTTTTTAAGTTCGTAAGAACAATTTTTTATGAATTAAAATAAAAATTTTTAATTTTTTTAACCCGCCCGCTTATTGTTTAAATTTCTTAACCTGCCCGCCCACCCGCCCATTGTTAAAAAATTTTTTTTAACCCGCCCGCCTGCCCGTTATTAAAAAAATTTTACCCGCCCGCCCGCCCACGGGCGGGCAGGAAACCCGATCAATGCAGACCTCTAATGCGGATCAACTAAAGGGGGGTAACTAAAGAAATGGAGAAGTCTGGGCCAGTGGAAGAAAATAAAGAAAATATGGAATGGAGTCAGAGAGAGAGGAAGAAAATGGAGAAAATATGGAGTCTGAGAGAGAGGAAGAAAATATAAATTATAGAGAGTCGGATATAGTTGAGATTTTAGAAAATGTGGAAGATAACGGAAAACTAGAAACGCGGAAATTACAAAGAGCTAGGAAACCTACAAATCGGCTAATTGAGGAGTTGTAAGATCATATGTGTGGGGATATGTTATAAATGAGATATATAATATATATTACTAATGTTATAAATACCATATACAAATCAATCATAAAAATATATAATATTTGTCATGTGATAGCATACTTGATTCACATATACATATGAAATAAAGAAATTGTATAGATATAGGCATAAGTTAAATTGATAAGGGATCGCCTTCGTATTGGAATTATTATTTATCTTATGATTTTTGTAGATAGTCCTTTCTGCATCAAAATACTAAACTAATAATAAATTAATTGAGCTAACTCTTCTCTACTTAATTAATGCTAAATTTGACCGAGTACGGCCTTTTTTTATTTATTACTTCCTTTGAACAATAGCAAGTTAATCCTATTATGCGTACTAAGGTAATTGTGCCATGTCCAAAAAACGTAGATAGTCTTTCTCATATTTACTTCCCTATAATTTAATTTCCCAGTTTTATGGGGAACAAACAGAGCTAGCGGCTTGATATTACATATCATTTAATTTAGACAATTCTTAAATAGTATCAATATCTGTCTTTAGATCAAATTATTTATTTCTGAATGAATGAGATGTGGAGGAGGAGGAACAGCGTCTACATGACAGTATTTTTACTGGATGTCAACCCCTTCAAAAACCTTTGCCTACACCCTTAAAAATTCTCGCCGCTTTCGGCGGCGGTGTCTCTCTATTATTATTTTCACCTTTTTAATTTATTGATACTCTTTTCAGAGAATTAATAAAAGATAACTTAAATTAATCTATCTCTACTACCAACTATCGATATTTTGTGAATATAAAGAATTTTTTTTTAGATAATAAATTCAATTAAAACCTCCATTATTCACAATGAATTAATTATTATGGCATTATGAGCTTGCGGAAATATCTAAACCTTTTAAATTACATTACAAAGGATAGCAGAAAGTTTTATTTGGAAAACAATGTGTATGATTGTTTGCAATATAGATTTGGTCGATGAACTGTATTATAATAATTCTATAATAAAAGTATTAATTTTTACAGCAATAAATTTCGTACTATTTGATCTCAAAATTTAATAGATAACCCCCCAAAAAATTTATCATACCCCCATTAAAGCAGCCTACCCCCACCCCCTTAAAAAAATAGGATGCAAACTGTTCCTACCCCTCCCGCTCAGGTAGACGCTGAGGAGGATACACAACAAAAGGATACGTTTGCAAAGATGGCTATGTTAATCTTCGACTTAATTAATTATATAAATTAATAATATATATTTTATTATCAACTTATCATATTCAATGCAATGATATATATCATTACCCCTCCCGCTCAGGTAGACGCTGAGGAGGATACACATCAAAAGGATACGTTTGCAAAGATGGCTATGTTAATCATCGACTTAATTGATTATATAAATTAATAATATATATTTTATTATCAACTTATCATATTCAATGCAATGATATATATCATTGATTCAATGAAAAAACCTGGTTTAACGTCTGTTAGTAGCCATTTTATATTTGTCTAAAATTATGTGTAGCTTTTTGGCAATAAAGCCATTCTTGATATTATTTTTTTTGAACGGATGATTATACGATTACGTTTATCAAGATGAGGTTATTTTAATGGAAAATATTCAATTTATAAATGATGACGATAACATAATTGATATTGATGAACCTTTTCAAACTTGGACCAATTCAATTCGTGAACCACAATTAGAGTTTGATGATACAGAAGTACAGAATTCGGTTCCTTATGATATTGAAAATGGTTAAGATACATATGATATGAATATATTAAAATATCTAGGTATTAGAGATGTCGATTTATTTAAACTAGATAAAAATTCTTTTTTTTTATAAAATTATATTTTTTTGATTACATAAATAATGAAAAGTATAATATGTAAAGAAATCCATCTTTTAATAAGTTAAAATTTATTAATTGAATATGTGCCTTATAGTGCAACCTAATTGAGGGTTATAGAAAAAAGCAAACAAGTATGTGTTTTTATTAATGTTTGTAAATTGTGATCAATTTGCACAATACCATTTGAAATACATGTTTGTATAACAAATGGTGAACACTCAATTATGTTTCACTATTATTTGTATGTGGATATAAAATATTTTCTGAATTTTTAACTTGATGATAATATAAATATGTGAATTTTATTCTATTCCAAGATAGTAACAAAATTATAATTCTATATAAACAGCCAATTTTATTCAATTCTTAAAAAATTATATAAATAATTACATTATTTTACATTTTATAAAAAATATATTAATTATTTGTTTAAATAAAGTGATTTTAATTTAAAAAGGTTTGTAATATAATATTTTATTTTTGGATAAAAATATAATAAACTTTATATAAAAAACAACTATTGTATAAAAAAAATTATTTCTAAAAAAGACAGTTAATACCAGAGTTGTTAAAGAGTATCTAGATATAAAAATGTAGTATCTGTATCAAGATAGATTTTTTAGAAAGGTATCTGTATCTAGATATTTTTTTAGAGGTATCTGTATCTCTTTTTAGATACTTTTTAAGATACATTTTATATACCCCTTTTTTTATTGTAAATAAAAATATTTGACTGTAAAATTTATTTTATTTCATATGAGCTTATGAAATAAATAAATATATATATTATATATTAATATTTATTAATACTATAACAAAGAATTATATATACATAAAATATTAAAACTTATATATAAATATTCATTAATTTAAATATTATGTCCGAGTTTATCAATAAACTATACAAATTTTAATATTACAATATGGAAATGGTAAATTTTATTTTATAACTAAATTTTTAAGTTTATATATTTATTTAGATCTATATCGATGAAGAAGAGGAAGCAACAAGTTCTATTGCTTTACCATGGCCAAATTGAGCATATTTTAAAATAATATCTCAAAACAAATAAAACAATTAATTCTCTGATGGTAAAAGGTTTGCCGTGTCTACCTAAAAATACAAAAATATCCGTCAGTATGACTTTAACGTGCAATATCATGAAGCACATAAGGGTATAGATATTATATATTTAAAATTCTAATTAAAATTTTAAGAGAAAATATCCAACCTTGTTAACAAAAATAAAAAAGGGGAAGGAAAATAAAATACTAAAGAAAATATTGGCAAGGCTCATCCTCCAATAATATTTTTGCTAAAAGACCTTTGACTTTAACTCAAGGCACTTTAGATGATTTAATTATTGCTTTTATTATAGATGGCATGCAGCCATTATAAAAGAAAACAATTGATACAAAGATTAGCTGGTGAATTATCAAAGTCATCAACTGACTGCAAGCAAATAACCTGCCAAAAAAAACAAATAATTTAATTTCAGATTTTTTTCAGTAGCCTACAGCAGATATAATTTCTAATAATGATTTAAATTTTGATAATCAACAAATTTTAAATAACTTTTTCAAAAATAAATGTAGAGATTTTAGCATTTTTAAAGAACTGATATAAAATTGTTATTTATTAAATATAATACTACAATTCCTTCAAGCGCCCCTGTGGAAAGACTATTTAGTGTTGCTAAAAATGTCTTCACAGATAAACGAGGATGCCTAAATGATCAAAATTTTGAAAATATTTTATTACTGAAATCTAATAATTATTTAATCATATATTTTCATATATTATATTAAAATTATAATTTTGGTTATATTCTGATAAATGTTATATCGCGTCAATAAATTTTTAGCTCATTTCATGAATTTTCACAATATAATATTAATTTAGGTTTATGCAAACCTGTATACAGATGCATATTAAAAATTGTATCTGTATCTTGATAACTTTTTAGACGCTGTATCTGTATCTAGATAACTTTTGAGACTATGTATCTGTATCTGTATCTAGATCCATTTAAAAAGTATCTTTTAACAACTCTGGTTAATACATTTATAAAATAAAGTTTTGGGTTGATCTACATATTTCTTAGGAGATCCTCTGTTGTAGATAAAACCCCTCTTTGGGATATCCAATATCTACAGCTATTTTTTTCCTGAGGCTTTTGATTAATTGGCTACCTCACCTCTAAAGATTCCCAGGGTGTTGGTAACTATGGGCTTTTGAAGATCAGGATATTTTGTTTCTTTTTAAGTGTAAATTATTTGATTTCATTAAGAAATTTATACAAGTAGTATATCCACAGGCTAGAGAAAAACAGTTCAACCAAGATATAGTATACCACCCAGTCTTTAGAAATATCACTAAGGAGAATTACTTTTTTAACAGGCACGTACGCAGGAATTTGGTCTGGGGGGGGGAGGGGTAATAAATTTTTTTAAGAAATATCATTGAGCATAAATTTATTAGGACTAATAACTTTTCTAACACACAATTTAAAATTAATGTGAAATATTAAAAAATTATATATATAAACCGGCATATAAAAAACTATAAAATAAATGTGAATTAAAAAAACAGATATAAATGGCAACATTGAAAAACTATAAAATAAATGTGAATTATAAAATATAAAGTGAATATAACCACCATATGAATCACTAAATGACCCAAAATAGAAATTTGAATTTTTTGAGCCTTTAAAATTTATATATAAAGTATAAAAAATTTAATTGTTGGAAATATAAATTATTACACAAAATGTTTCTTAGGAATAATTATATTTTGTATGTTTTGAGCTAATTTTTCAATTATCTCATCCTTGCTTGGCGTTAAATGCCTATGAATATTCAAAAGATCCAAACCATTCAATCTACTTTTAGAAGTTTTACTTCATGGGTATGTTTTTCAGAGACTTGCTAGCTTGGCCCCTGGGCCTGACCATATATTTTTTTTAAATCTGGGCCGGGCCAAAATTTTTTTTCAAAAAAACACTCGGCTGGGTCTGAAATTTTTTTTAAAAAAATATCTGGGCTGGGCTATATATTTTAAAACCAAATATTCGAAATCACCATTATTAGCTATAAAAATAAAAAATAAATATAATTTATTTTAGAAAAATTTGGGCCGGGCCTGAATTCAAAAAAGTCTGGCCTGAAAATTTTTTTTTAAAAAAAACCCCAAACAGGGTCAAAAAATTTTTTGAAAATCCGGGCTGTGCCCTGCAAATGGTACCTCTGCAGGGCTCTGTTATTCTTCTTAAAAAGAGAATGTTCTCTCATTAGTTTATTAATAGGAAGAGTTGCTAATATATTTATAACCATTTTAATACATTGGGAATATAATCTAAAATGTGTTTGAAATAATGTGAAGCATCCATAGCATTTTTTGGGACTATGTCCACCATAGTTAATCTTTTAATCATAGTTATTTAGCTAATAAGGCATCATAAGATACTTTAATATCTTCAAGATAAAATTTAATAAATATTTATTTTTTTCTATCACCATTCATTTATTTGGGTTATAAATGTATCTAAGAGTTGGGACACTTGTTTTATAATTCTTCTACTGATCCTATATTAATGTTTTGACGATGAGCTTGCTTGCTGCAAGTCAAGGGACAAATATTAAACACGTCAAGCTCTGCTTTTGACTCAACAATAATATATAAAATATGAAATTCTTCATCAACATTAGCTCTAATTTCCTTGAGGTCTTATAAAATTGTCTCCGCTATTCTCATTTTCTTAATCAAGCCAATGTCATATTTTTGAAAAGTATTACATAAAATAGTTGTATAATTAAATAATACATTCTAATGAGAAAATAAATTTGGAATAAGTATTGAATTCAATAATTTTCTTGCTTCTGAGGAAATATTTCTTTCAAGCCATTATGATATTTCATTAATAGCATTAATAATTGGCTCTTATAACTCCATAAGAGCTGTTACTGCTTGATGGCGGCGACTCAATCTCGTTGGACAAGCTTGCAATTTCTTTCTCCCTGTTAGACAAGGAGTTTCAGAGATAATTATTATTGACTAGAAATTTAGATAAATATTACGCCACTAATATTTGAAAATAATAAGTAAATTACGCCAAGGAAAACTTGAAATCGAAATTAATTAATAAAATAACTTAGTAGATGAATGTGATAAATAAATCTAATTAAATATATATGAGATAGGAATAAATATTAACAAATATAAATTAATATTAACAATAATATTTTTGAAAAATATAATCCGGCATCTGATTTTTTTGGCTTTGGGGGGGGGGGATTTGTACCCCTATCTCCCTCCCCCGCTGCATACGCGCCTGTGTTTTAAGAGTGGATAGTATTTGTAGACTTTTGAAAGCTTGTAGAATGATGCTGTTGATTGCTTTATGGTGGGGTTCATGTCCATGAGAATATTTGCAGTATATTGGGTTTTATTATTTATTAATTGTCAGTTAGTTAAATGGTGTTACTGTACATTCTAGAAAAAGACAGCATGGATATTTAATCAATGAAACAGACAACAAGTGGAGAATCCCAGCTTTTTTGGGAAGGGGTTGATCTGATGCAGTTGGCCCAGGTGTTTAGTTAAAGTTAGGTCATTGTATGGGGTGAGTGTTTGAAGATAAAAAAATTTATAGGAAAAAAGATTAGGTGAAGTTAAGGCCAATGTAGATAGGCACAAGGGTGAACGGGTGCCATTTTTACCAGTATGAAAAAGTGTTGGCAGAAGTGGAAAATCTTATATTTAAAATGATCCCAGTAGGTTTTTAATTTTAATTTCATGCTAGGCCTGAATATCCTCATTTTTAAATCGAGGATGTCATAGCATATGAAATTTTAGGTATATTAAAGAAATTTTTGCTGAACAGGAAGGGCATGTTTAGGGTGTTATATTGGGAGAGTTAGTTAGAAAATGTGTATAGCCCCCTTTCCCCCTATAGGGGATCCTTGATTAAGTAAAATTATTTATGGGTATAGTCTGGAATGGGGAAAAGAGGGGAAATGTGAAGGTGAGCATCTTTGGAGATATTTAGAGAAAGACTTTTTGTAGGATACAAGTCTTCAATATTTTTGATATATAATAGCTGATATATCGCAAAGATGATTCTATCATCTAAATAGCAAGAATTATGAGATAAATCTGATTTATGTTTAATATCAGCCCATTCTACGATAATAAAACATGATTATTTAATTTTAGGAAAAACAAATTTGTAGCATAGCTATTATAGATCAGAGACCTTAATGGGCCTAAATTTTTTGATTAAACCTGATCCAGGTTCGCAAAAAATATTTTGGGCAGGCCCGGACATATTTAATATTATAACTATTCCCAAGTCTGACACAGGTCCATAATGTGTTTAAAAAATAATTTCCAATCCCATATCCAAAAATTTAAATTATTGTATTGAATAAAAATGAACAATATTAAATGTATTCATTTTGTTTACAATACTAAAATTTATTATTAGTATAAGAAAAAAATTACAATAATTTTTTAAGCTAGCAACTGTATAAGCGAAATATAAATAAAATAGTTTTAGGCCCAAACCCATTAAAAATAAATTTCAGTGACCCAGGCCAGCTAAAAAATATTATATCATGGACTGTTGAGGAGGAATATTCCCATTTGGGATGATATTGAGAAGTTTTATTAAGTTTTTAATACAATAAGGCTTTAGGGAATGTTTGGTTTAATAATATCTTGGAGCAAAAATATTTCCTTTTTTTCAGAGTTGTTAAACCCTACTTTTAAAAGTAGCGCGATACCGTTATCGTTATTTGTCAAAAAATTTAGCGCGCTACCGCGATCGCTACTCATCAAAAAAAGTAGCGCGCTATTAGCTACTATTTTTTAGTAGCTTGGTTACTTTTTATAAAAAAAATTAGAAATAAATTTGTTTTATTTTTTCTTATAATGTAATTGTATAGTATATAATACATAAAAATCAACATTTATAAATATTTAAATATAGTTAATTATTGATTATAAAAAATAGTATATAAAAAGGCTAAAATTAATGTAATAAAATAATTATTTATGGTAATATTTATTCTTATTTATTTTGGCATTTTAATAATAATATCATTTCTATACTATCATCCCCAAGCCTAGAGCAACGATCAGAAAGTATAAGTTTTGCTTTACTAAATAATCTCTCAACACTAGCACCTGAGGGCAAGGCAGTATTTAATTTTATATACATATTTTTAATATAAGAAAAATTTTCAAAAATAATCATTAAGTAGTTTCTGATTTAACGTATCTAGGAGATTTTCTATTATATTAGTATCCTATATTTCCAAAAAATTATCATTGGAAGTCGTTTTTGAGGTTCTAACTAGGGAATATTTGCTTGGTATTTGACTATCAGTCCATGAGCCTATCACGTTAATCCTTAGCATTATCGATTAGAGCATCTTTCATCTCTTCAAAGTTATCTACCATCTTAATCATTAGTGGCTAGCGGCAAAAAATTGTTGTACCAGGGGATAGAGTTTTAATATTGTAAATGAATTACAACCAATGACATTGGCTGAACTATATCAATTATAAGATCGATAATAACTTTATCAGCCAGTTTCTGAAAAATATTGGCATGTGCAATATTATTTATTAATCAATTTAGCTTGAATCTCTTATATATCAAAATTAAAATCTTTTTAAAACGGTTGGCATGAACATTCTTACAAAATAAAAATAGTATTAAAATTTAAAAATGACCATTACCTTTAGATGTTTTTTGAGGTAATAGCTACTAGATTTATTTGAGGATATATTTTTTCTACATTTTAAACAAATAAATTTATAGCCACCTTTTGTTTTTACATTAATTTGAAAATATTTTTCAAATTTATGAATTGGAAAATTTGTATTATTGTTATTAAGAACATTTTCTTCCAGGGTACTTACCTTCCACTTCATTAATGATCATTGTCTGACTCAATTACATCAATTTTGATTGCGATGACATATTAAATAATTTAAACCAGATGATTTAGGTTTATATTGAAAATATAAATTTCAAAATTAAATAATAAAAATTATTATTAATTATGACATTATTTAAATTTTCATGTTTATAAGCTACATTCATGCTACTTAGCTACTTTCAAAAAAAGAAGCGCGCTAAAAAAATAAATAATTCGAAAAAAAGTAGCGCGCTATTAGTTATCGCTACTAAAAAAGTGCGCTACTTTAACAACTCTGCTTTTTTAATAATCATTTTGGATATAATTTTGAATTTAAATTAAACAGATTACTTGTTTTTCGATAATAATAAGACTGCATTTTTTTAATTCTTAACTGTTTTTTTTTATAATCCTTTAAAATTTGAATCAATTAGCCTAATTAATGGGTGATTCCATATTAAATGAGCAAGAAAAATATGATTTTAACGGATTCTTTCAATTTCAATAATAATTTGTATGAACATCATATCTTTGGTGCCACTAGCCTTTACAATCTCATGGGACTCAAATAAAAAAAATGGATTTTTTTAGGAAATATTTTCTAAAATGATCTTTTTGGGGGCTCTTCAAATTTTTCAGGATCTCTGGCTTTTTTATGCCCCCTCCCCAGTTACGCTACTGCATCATATATGTTCTAGTTATGACTGAGACAATAAGATTTAAAAGTACAAAAATTGGTTTTTTTAAAACTTTTTTCAAATGTTAAAATTAGTTTTTAATTTAAAGATGGAATTAGTTGAATATTGAATCTAGTATTAATAAATAATTCAATAATTGATAATTATGATTAAAACATCAATATTCAGTTCTTAAATATAGTCCATCTAAATTTAAAATTATATTTTAAATAAGCAGGAGCTCTAATTTTCCATTTTTTAAAAATTCTTTTACTATAATTCTAAAGGTCATTCTATATCAAACCAAACACCTTTCGGTCGACCCTTTTCAAAAATTTGTAGGTACATTTAAGTTCTATTAACTTTAGCTCATTCAATAACTTGCCTACAAATTTTTATCGAAATTAAAAGAGGTGGACTGCGAGATATTTAATTTGACATGTTTAATAGTCATAACAATTGGTATCTTTGTTTTAAATTCTTATCTATATATAGTATTTTATAATTATGTAATTTAACTTCTAATATTTTGTAATTAGATTGACCTTAATAATATTATATTAAATATAGGAAAATAATAATATTGTATGACAAATATAATATTCATATAGCATTGAATATAATATTATAAAATATAACAACATGGAATGTCCTTTAATTAATGATTATGAAAAAAAATAGAATATAACGATGGATTGTTAAACGAAAAACTTGACCTCGAGTTGACCGAAAAAGTTGATGCTCTGCAGTTTTTCGATGAAAATTACGAAGACCAAATTAAAATTACCCCAATTATGGACATGGGGGCGGACTCTAAGGCGATAGATAATTTCTCAGATATGGTCAAATACAACATTATTAACGTGACCGGTAATATGTTTACTTAAAACCTTTTTTATAAACTTTAAAATGTTATATCAAAATTATATTATTGCTGGCAACAGATTAATTTATAACTTATGGTGGATAGAATAAAATGAATAAATGAAATAATATTTGGAATAAACCGCTCCTAATGCTCTTTTACACCGTAATGAGTGCGTTATGAACGATGGTTTTTAATATAACACAACATCTTTGCCCTCAATTATATTTTCTTGTAACAACCATTATTCAATTGGGTTCATTTTATTTATAATGTCATCTGAACTGAATACTCTTCTTTTTTTTAAATGGATCAAATCTTGCCTGGAATTTTAACCAAATTGATATGATATAGGTGCTCAGATATATTTTTATAATTGCTATAATATTTAGAAATGTATCTATACCTATACTCATAGTATCAATATATCAATACTTGCCATTTTAAAAATAAATAATTAATTAACCGATAAGAAACATGGTGATGTTAAATTTTTATTGATGCATCTAATATTTTGTATATAACGATTAAAGGTGATGACAAATATGGACGTAAAATTATTATAATATCCGCTTGTAATTTACCAACAAGAGATAAAATGGATTACAACAGATTTTTGAAGTGATGAAAATTTAATTCTTTAAAAAAAAGTGTTTTTTTTAAATAATTTTATCAAAGTAGATATATAACCACTACTCTGGACACATTCGTTGAATTAGATTATGTTATCGTTTATTTTCACTGTGGCTTGAATAGTAAAAACAAACCACCAATGTCATGGTTATGGCAGGCTTATAAGATGTTTGATCATAAGTATATTATTTTTTACCATTATATGTTGTTCAATTTATAAACATTATATTTATAGATATAAAAAAAATTTAAAGCAGCTTTATCTCGTGCACCCTACGAATTTTGTAAAAATATTTTATCAAATCTTTAAACCTGCAATAAGGTATAATGCTTTGTTACTTTATTCATGTATATTATATGCTAAAATTATATATGAAAAAAGTAATAAATTCGGCCATAAAATTGTGAAAATAAATTTTTTATATGAACTTCAAACTCACATGCTCATTGAACAGCTTTACATTCCCAAATTAGTATTAGAGTAAATAATACATATTCATTATATTATACTAAAATTAAATTAAACATTTTTCATCTTGTAGACATGATAGCAAATTATATATAAATTACAAAAATACTATTAATAATTCTAATTTGTTCGAGGACCATATATGCGAAAATGCATTATTTGGAGAAGATATAAAAGAGTAATTTTATCGTTTTAATCCAATATACCTAAAAAAGTTAATAAAGTTTAGCGAAAAGAAATAATGACCCTATACCTATCTTTGTTAAACAAATTGTTGAACATTTGTCGACCAAAGAATGTAAATTATTCAGTATATAGGTTTATTCATTTTGTTTTAGCTCTCAGTACTGTTGGGCTGTTTAGAAGGTCATGCAACATCAATTCGCTTAACGCGATCAAACAAAGATTAAATAACGGTTTATACTTATATATCAAGCATGATTTATTGAATAAAATAATTTTTGCTCAATATGATAATCAGAGTTATAACATGCTTTAAGCGAGGAGCGAGAGCGATTTATTTAACGTTAAATTCTATTTCTTTATTTAAAGTTATATTTAAACAAGCCATCTAGTTATTAATTATAAATTAAACATAGCTTGGTCCCAATTAGGGATTTAATCGTTTGAAACATTTTTTTTACCTCTGAAAATGCTGGAGGTTAGTTATGAGCAAAATAAGTAAGTGGGGCGTTAAGATAGAAAAAACACGACTCAAAAAAATAAATACCGTAGTATTTATCAGGGATGTGAACCCTTCGATAAAAAAAATGGTCCGGGTTCAGGAATAAAATTTTTAAAAAAGGTTCAGGTCCCGGGTTCAAGGTTTGGAGATTATAAAAAAATATTGACTTAAAATTACACAATTTATTTTTTATATACTTCATATAAATAATAGGCATGCATAAAATTAATTTATATTTTTAATGTTTTATTTAATCGCATAGCCCTTCTTAATATCATTTATAATAAAATATTACCTACACTAAAAAACATATTGGTCACTTTTTTATAAAAAAAATGCTCTTTTTCTAAAAATTTAGAATTATAATCTATATTTAAAAAGTTATTAACTTTTACTAATTTATCATTCAAATTCGTTTGTTTACATTTTTGGGGGTGAAGGCTATTTTTTATTACCTTAAAATGATATTTACGAGAGGCAAATTTGCGATGGGGGAAGGGGGGGGGGAATTCACATATATCACCTTTTAAAATTGATATAAATTAAAACAAGTAAAATGGAAGTATAAATTCCAGAAAATTTTGAAAAATGGGAAGAGATAAAAAAAACGAAAATATTTTAAAAAATTTTTGGTATTTTTTTTGACACCAAAAATACCAGAGTTCAGAAGAGTCTAGGTTCTGGTCCGGTTTGATTTTCATAGTTTTTCCCTTTTTACTAGCTTATTTATTTTACCTCAAGGCCACATATCAATCACTCATTTAAAAGTCAATCAAAAAATAAGATTTTTGCAGGACCTTTTCAGATTTTGACTACATTTTTATATACACATAAGTAAAACGTGTTCAAAATTTAGCATCCATTTCCTTAAATTTTTGGAGACACAGACCGGCAATAGATGTATAATTTAAAAAATCGGAACTGGGCCCAATTCTAAAATTTTAAGATATTTGATTTCAACAAAATAACCAAATTATTTATTATGACCAAATTTTACGGGCCTAAAAATAAATTTTTTTTATTCGGGCTTGTCGAAAGTCGATATTTTAAACTCGGGGGTCTGATCTGCAAGCTTGGCTTGGTAAATGGTATCCGTGATTTTTTTGAGTGCTTAAATTTTTTGAATTATTATGTTTGGTATTAAATAATTTTATTTAAAATATTGAAATATAGGAGCGAAATTAAAGATTGAATCTACTGATGATGCACATTTATATGCCGTTTTGTTGAAATCATTTTTACGAGATTTGCCTTCACCTTTATTTACATTTGAAAATTACGATAAAATTATAAATTCAGGTATTTTTGATTATTTTTATCTATTATTTTAAATTTATCAAAACAATTTAGAATCGAAATCGAACATTCAAACTCCAATATTTTGTAGAGATATTATAGATACATTGCCAAAGGAAAATTATGCCTTAATAAAATATATTATAAACTTTTTAAAATTGGTAATACAAATAATAAAAATATATTATTAAATTCTGAATTATTATAGGTGACGACTCATAGTGATATTAATAAAATGACCAGTCACAATTTGGGCTTAATATTTGGACCAAATTTTATATGGGCTAAAACTCAGCCATCGTTAATTAACATCGATCGTATTAATAATTTTATCACCGTTTTAATATCTTATTCCGATGAAATATTTGATATTATCTAATCATATTTATTGAAATAATTATAATTTTACAATTTTTATATAAAAAAAATGTAATAAAAATACATTGTTATTTATAATACATTTTATAATATATTTATTTAATAAAATACTAGACGGGTATTTTTTTTAATAAATGGAAATCATGTTCATATTTAATTAGGATATAATACATCTATTAGATTGTTTTATCTTTTATTAAACTATTTAACATTTTTGAACTTAAGACAATCATGATCCTTTATATAAATCGATTATCCTTCCCTCTAATTAGCGATTTCTTCCTTAAGCCTCTATTGTTCACTTTAATCTTATAGTAGTAATGGAGGTCTAGTATTAGCATGATATTAAAAAATAAAGAATAATGCTATAAAGCGTTATTTTTAAAATTTAACATAATTATTTTGAAAAATTTAACTTCGGTACCTTACCTTTTAAAAGAAGTCTTATATTATTTTTTTCGAGAGATCGAAAATGATCCATACGCTATAAATTTATAAAAAAAATGATACAAAAATTTTTAAACCGATCTAAAATTAATTATAAATGATAAATAACTCGTATTAACGTATTCCGGCGAAAATATTTTAAAATTATTTTTATCTCAGGTATCAGCCGACTCATGTTATTATCGGTTTGAATATCGATTAAAATAGTGGTATCGTTATTAGTGATCTGCATCGAGCCTAATTTTTTAAGCCCGGCCCGGCCTGAAGTTTTTTTTTAAAAAAGTTTTGCCGGCCCAGCCCGAATTATATATAGAAATTAATTTTTATAATAACTAAAAATAAAAACTGTGTTATATGGCGTTTAGTTTCTATAAATAAAATCAAATATTTTTATATTACATAAAATTTCAACATAAATTTATATATATTTAAAAAAATTCCAAGGCCCGACCCGACTTAGCCCGAATTTAAAAATAAATATTAAGCCCGACCCAGTCCAAACCCGATTTTTTTAAAAAAATAGGCCCGACTCGAAGCCTATTTGGGCCGGGTACGGGCTTGTCCTACTTTTGCAGATCTCTAATCGTTATATCTCAGACAGGTATTATGTAAATAGGGTTATAAATACATTATAATTAATCAATAAAATATATAATTTTTTTGAAAATTTATTAAATAAATTTATAATTGATTGCAAACCATTTTTTTAAATTTATTTATAACAATAATTATTCAAATTTTTGATCTGACAAATAGGAACGTTTAGCGCTTATAATTGATGTTAAGAATTTTCCATTTTATGGCTTGAAAAGAGTTATTTTTTTTTGTCCTAATCTATTAGAATATCTTTATTCAGTTTTTAATTATGTTTAAATGTGTTGGCACCCTTGTAAAAACAATCGACATAATTATACTAGGAACGACGTTTACATTATGGCTTGTCTCAATGGGGCGGATTGTAGATCAATGTTTAAGTTAGGTATTTATAAGGTTTATATTAAACGTTAGATTTGATCAGGAAATTCATCTAAAATTTAAATAAATTTAAAAAAAATACTGGGTGAAACAAACTGCTATTATGGGTAATCAGCTCCAATTTATTCGTTACTTAATTTACAAATATCAAATTTTATATAATTAAATATTGTGGACTTTTGAAACACTTTGCTTATACATTTTATTTTTCGATAGATTCTATAGTGTGTAAGTGTATTATTTATTTACTTAATAAAATTATTTCATTAAGACAAATTCGAAAAAACCTTTATTTTCGAAAACCATAATTAACCGGAATCTTTTAAAATTTAGGCAGCTGAACCTAACCATAACCTTTTAATTTTTTCGCTTCTGAACCGTAAACCAAAATATCGGGCCCCTCTACTTAGCCTTTACATTAATTACTGAATCTATGCAAAGTTTTTCAATTCTAATGATTTAACATAAATAAAATTATAAGCTAACTATAATAAGTATATAATAAAGTATGAACTTTTAGTATTCGTAGTTTAGTTAATATTTTTTCTAATATTGCTTTAAATAAAATTTTTTTGTAAATATTAGATATCGCCCCGAACCGGCTCCTTAAGAATTTAAAAATGTTTTTCATATGGCTCGAAATTTTTTTTAGCTCAGCCTCTTAATTATTTTTGGTAAAATTTTTTTTATAAATTAGCATTATTCAAGACTTAAAAAATTCCGAGCCAAAAAATATTATACACGAATTGCCTGGCTAGAAAAATATATTTTATAAAAGTTAGGAGTATTTCTGATGTGTATTCCTTTCTGAGTAAAATAATTCCTTGAGACAAGAAATTTTTAATATAATAGCAGGTATAGAAGGAAATATGATATTTTATCAGTATTTGAAGAAATATTAATTTTAATCTCTTAATATATTTAGGATCATTAGTAATATCTACACAATATCACTTAAATCTAATAGCTTAGGATATTCTGAAAATCTAATAAAATATTTAATATTAGACATTATAATAAATACTAGTCAGGCAATAAATACTAGGGCAAATCAATTATTAAAAAAATAATAAGGTTATTGAACTAACGTAAAACATGAACGCGTTCGACAAAAAATGAAATGTGGAACGAGTTCGTTTACAACCAGTATATATTTTAATACGAATCCCGGAAAAAAAAACCCCGAAATTTTTTTTCGAATTTACTTAAGATCTAATAATATCGGTATATTTTTATTTGGATTTAATAAGGTATAGATAAAATAGTATTTTAGAAATAAATATAAAAATATAATTTAATAATAAATTTTTTTAGGCCCCATTTCATTACTTAAAGATTTCTCATATACCCTCCATAAAAAATGCTTAAATAAATCCTAAATTTAGTACAAAAATTATGCTAACCTAAAAAATGCTGATGTTTAAATTGGTACTGGGAAAAAAAATAACCCATGTATTACTTATTTTCGTAAAAATTATTTGCTATAGTAATAAATACAATCCATCCTTAATTACTATATTAAGTAGACTAAATTTGACAAAATTTGCAATAAGATCTGTTTATTTTATTGATAAATCATAATATATATACAAATTTAATAATTTACAATAATAATTATATGGGTGACATAGAATATTGAAGGAAATCTCCCTCATAAAAATCTGGATGGCTTCGCACTACATCACGGTATTCCTCGCAAAGTTTCTTTAGCCGATTCTGGGTATTGTAACTGCGATTTTGTTTTCGGTGTCCAACTACCTACACGCCATCGTTCAAGTTTGGTTTAATCGGCAGCCACCTCGCATTTCATTTTTTTAATCAATACCCAGATTGATGGGTGTTTATTCCCAACCAGATTAGAAAAACGATGATTCCAACCTTGAGAATAGCTTCTTGTGACCTTCCTTGATACTCCATTGATGTAATTTTTATCGAAATATTAAAGAATATCCTTACCATTGCTCGGAGTAACTGATCTAAGGAATGCCATTGCATTGCCCATATCACATAAAGGAACAAATGCTAAGCCTTCCATCATGCCACAAAGGAAGCTAAGGGCTTCATCGGTTCTGTATTGGCTTACCAGACCTAGCTTTTGAATTTTTATATGGGTACTTTGACACAAATGGTAAAAGCATCCTCTGATTATGATGTGATCCCCTAATTGGAAAAATAAATATAAATAATTTAACATATTAATAATCATACCAATGACAGTTTTAACCGCGCTCATGGCAGACTTTTCGAAATCCATGTAAATATATAATGGATCAGGAAATAAATCCCGTTCTTGACATTTAGACATTATTACTTCGAATATTTTTTCTTTTTTTGGAGTTAAATAGCTGTTAATGATTGTGGCATTCGCTTATAAAATTATTTATCAATATTAATTATTGCTAGGTTATACTAAAAAATTAAGTGAAAATTGAGAAGAAAAAAATTGAGATAAGATCAGAAAAATAAAGATTAACAATGACATAAAGCAAAAATGGGAAGAATAAATTGAGAAAAAAATTTAAGAAAAAGTGACAAGAAAATTTTTTTAAAAAATAACGATTTTCTTTTGTTTTGGATTTTTTTTCCATGGGGTTTTTTCCGGGGGTTTTTTCCGTGAGGTTTTATTTCCGGGGGTTTTTTTCCTATTACCATTTTAATACAATCTTTTTCAATTCTGTTAGGATTTCACTTGGTAGGAAAGAATAGATATAATTTAGAAAAGATTTATTTTAGATGGATTCCAATATAAAACAGTGTAATTTATTTTCTATTTTAGATAAAAAGGTGTAGTTAATAAATTTTTTAATTTTTAAAATATGACAATATATTATCTCCTCAATTTAAATAATGTATTAATTGGTCCAAATTGAATAAAAAAAAATTAAATAAATATTTATAAAGTTTATATTATTTATAGAAATTGTATTATTTTTATTATTATATTATTTTTATTTATATTATTTTTAATAATTTATAATTGCTAGAAATTTATGAATGCAAATGTGGGAAAAATTTGGGAAGTAGCCAGCTCAGTGTGGGGTATGATATATATTCTTTTAAATAAGGGAGTTTTCCACTTGAGATCTGGCTGCCTTGGTCTCTAGACACTATACCATTAAGCACGTTTTTAATATTTTAAAATATGATTTTGTAGGAAATGCATTTCAGCATGTAAAAAAACCTATTTCCGTGGTTTTTAGAAAATTGTGTTTTGAACTTTTGAAATAAATAAAATTTATATTCGTTTTCCCATGGATTATATAAATTATTGACTCAAAATAATGGTAAAGTTGTTTGAAATTCATAGGGTAAGGAATTCTGAACAGGCTGGAAAACATTTCCGGTAAAATCAGATTTTTAAAATTTAAAAAAAGCCCCCCAAAAATGATTAAAAGTTGAAAGAATAAACGCTCAAACATTTATAGGTAATTTTAAACAAATTGGATGATTATATATTCAAGTGCCAACCTTTTTGCTGCAGTTGATAAATAAAATATAATTGAATATAATTATAGTAATACATAGATGTTCTAGTTTAGACTTGTTTTTAATTATAAATTTATTTATAAAAAATTTATTTCTTTTTATATCGATTTTTTTACTCCAATAAATCGATATTATTACGATTTTACCTTTATTGTGTGATGGTGATTAAATTTTGATATCGTATTATTTAAATAAATAA